ACACAGTGTTTGGTACCCAGACTCCCAGGGGCTGCAGGAAACAAGTCAAGAGAGTGCCAGAAAAGTAAGTATTTCACATATTGGTAAAGGAAGGACATGTTAAAAGAGTTGTAAGACCAATTTCACGTCTGGAACTGGACCAAAGCCTACAAAAATTAGCCTGGGTATGCCATGCACCACACCTGCACTCTCCAGATAAAAAGTCCAAATCAGCAAGAAAGCCCCAGACCCCAGGAGCAGAATGATGAAAGGCCAGTTTCTCTCCACTCAATTAAAGCCCACCTACACTCTTGGTCTATAGCCAAGACGTGGTGCTGCAATGCTCTCACTCGATTTTGTCAACAGCCATCCCACCGCACTCAATTTCCCTTGCCCCACAGGCCCATGACCTCCTTCTCCAGACAATCCGTCCTGTTGAGTCTATCAAATGTGGCTGAGAGTGACAAACAGATGTGCATAAAAATGCATCGACTGTGTTAAAAAAAGCATAATGTTTAGCATTTGAGTGCACTAAATGCTGATGGCTGAGATTTTAATGGGGTATTTGGGTGTATCATCTTAAACTGCATTATCCGTAATTATGGACCATATGCTATGCTGCTCTGGCAGTTGCGAGGGCATTCCCACCTCCACGAGCATGCGACTGTAATCTTGATGGACCGAGGCGGGCCAACGCTGAAGTTCTCTGCGGTGCATCTGCACATCCAATCCAGCATGTCAGTTGAGATCACTCACTTCTTTTGACAGCCAAATATTGATGCATTTGCATACCACCAGGTTATTTTAAACTACATTCATCAGCAACGAACACATACTTGCTTAGCTGTGCCAAACAAAGCCCTTGACAGTGTTCTGTCCAAAAAAGAGACTATTCAATATTTAAGCCACAGTGAAAATTTCATAAATTAAGAAAAAGACACATCTAAAGCAATCACAGGGAACAGGCTTCCTCCACCCACCCTGAAAAACAAAATGTGCATTTTAAATTCAATGCCAATGAATGGTTAAATGGAAGACCATTTTCAGTGCAGGCTTGAAACATTTTTGCCTCATTAAAAATGTAGTGGAGGAATAACAGGTGCAAGCCAACACAGCGTTCCGGAGCTAAGGAAAAGCACTGATTTTTAATGAGCTTCTTCTACATCGAGAAGTGGGGGAGAGAAAGAGAGCGTTTGCCAGCCACTGGAGAATTGGCCAGAGCTGCTGTTTATTTACTTGCAGTAACATAGATAATGGATTCACTCCTGGTTTCTCTCTTTAATAGCCGGTTAAGGTGTGGGGTGAAATTAGTCGTTTACCCTGAGTATTTCTAAATGCATTTACATATAATGAACATGAACATATCACCTAAGAAGTTTAATAGGAAGAAAGTCCAAGCGAGCAAATGTGCACTAAATTACTAAATTGATCCATTTCATCTTTTTTTTACTTCCTTGAATTATTTTTTATATCTCGTTTATATGTAGACTATAATGTTGGAAAAATCTGATATCTAGCTCACTTCAAAATTAATGTTGCAAAGGCAATCGTGAATATAATTGTGTCCAAAGGGGATTTGTCATTTTAAACGACCCAGTCTATTACATTCTTGCTGTATATTTGGTCTTAAATACTGACCATGAAATAAGATTTAATTTTCCACTTGTATGGAAATAGATAAGAGAGCATGCCAAAAATGGTTCTGATTCAGTCAGTTGATAAATAAATACAAATCAAAATTCAATGTAAATTGAAGAATATGACACTTTTTTTGAAGTCTCAAAAAAGCATTATAAAATCAATCAACCAAACTTTTTCTTAGAATGACTTTTTAAATGGACCTCACACAATATGTTAAAATGAGACTCTGACATACTTCACTAAGATTCCCAGATGGGACTAAATTATGATGAGCTGTATAGCTTTGACATGCCCTGACTATTCTCAAAAGGCAAAACGTTTTCAGACCAATGTCTTCACTTTAAAGAAGTTCATTTTTAGATGTATTTCATCTGTAGGAAGGGTAGACAGACTGTCTGAAAGATCTTTGTGTCAGCTTTCCATTTTTAGGTATCATATCTCATATCATATCATAGATTTGACAAAACAAGGTAAAAAAATCTATCTACATACCATAACAGGACTCTTGAATTACAGAAGGCCTGACAGCAGGTTGGTAGTTCACATACATTTTTTGAAGCATTTAGGCTGCTGTGATATTTCAAGTAATCATAAAATAAATAAATTAAAAAACAAATGTGACCCTGGACCACAAAACCAGTCTTAAGTCGCTGGGGTATGGGGTCAAAATTATCTATTTTTCTTTTATGACAAAAATCATTAGGATATTAAGTAAAGATCATGTTCCATGAAAATATTTTGTAAATTTCCTACCGTAAATATATCAAAACTAAATTTTTGATTAGTAATATGCATTGCTAATAACTTCATTTGGACAACTTTAAAGGCGATTTTCTCAGTATTTAGATTTTTTTGCACCCTCAGATTCCAGATTTTCAAATAGTTGTATCTCGGCCAAATATTGTACTATCCTAACAAACCATACACCAATGGAAAGCTTTCAGCTTTCAGATAAATCTCAATTTTAAAAAAAGACTGGTTTTGTGGTCCAGGGTCACAAATGGCCTGCATTTACATCATTTGAAAGAGCTACATATATATATATATATATGTATATATATATATACATTTTATTTAAATATTTCTATTTTTAATGAAATAAAAAGTAATCAGCGCTCAGAAGAGAGAGGACACCTCCTGAAGGGTTCTCAAGTAAACTTCCGCATCAGTCTCATTACAATGGTCTCATACTGTATCTAAAAAATAAAAATGTTAGAATCAACCAAGAATCGAATGCACAATGAATATAAAATATTAATGTCAAATTACACGCTTCCATATATGCATCAGCGTGTGCTCATGAGCCTTTCATGTTCTGCTGCTTTCATCAGTGTTCGCTTGAGTTATATCATTATTCTGCTCTGAGAACCTCTGAGGAATTTAAAAGCCAACATCAATTTGGATTATTTGCCTTTGTCACAAGCAACACTTTAAAGATTAAATAAACCGTGTTCAGAGAGATTAATTTTCAGAGTCTACATCAGTTCTATCTCTGTCTCTGATCAAAGATAACAGGTGACTGTTAAAAAGGTACTGAACTGTGTCAGAGGGTCTGTTGATGTCTCATAGTCCTTGCAATCTCAGAATAATAAATACATTGGTTTACCGTGATATGAAACCACTTACAAATGCATTTTAATATTGATTCTAATGATTTTTGTTTTGTTTTGACAGTAGCCAGATTTGGGATAGTCTGTGTGAGTGCATTAAAATCAATATCCAAATATGATGCAAATTATGTGAATCCATGAGGTGTGTGGATGGGCATATATCAAGCTAAAAAGTTACTCCTTTGGCAGTAAAATTAAATCATGTCTAAGGCAGCTAGTTATAATTAAAATTCTAGCATTTCATTAGTTTTGTTGGGAGCCCTGTTTACTTTTTTGGTGTATCTTCTTGTTCAAGGGGTCCTACTTCCGTCATATCCTGCACATGTTGCATGTTAAAAGAAAAACTTTTAAAAAAAATACTATTTTGCATTAATCATTCAAAATAAGGGACTTCCCATCTGTGCAATGACATGACAACCCAAACAAAACAGACAGCATGTCATGGGCCAGTGCTATTCAGTGCTACTGAAGTGTGTCACCTCAAATACAGTTCAAGAAACAGCAGCAAGAACAACCTGTATTTTAATTAAGATGGTTGAGTCAGAGGCAGTGAAAGGGCTGAGACTTTTTTTTCTCAAAGCTGTTTTGGTTTCCTTTTCTTCCATAAAAACACCCGCATGTGTTGGGCAAGCATCGCTCCTCTGCTATTCATATGGTGTGATCAATAGCCATTGATCGGAGAATATCGAGTCTGCTGCAGGGCCGAGTTTGAATGTAAGCCACTGATGTAGAAATGCTGTGTCCATTTATTTATAATCCCGGTCTAATTCACACTTAATCTTTTCATTCCCTCATTTTGATAAATTCAGGGTTCTCTTAGATGTGTTTTTTCACCGTAATCATTTAAGGAGTTATAGACTTAATCCAGTTCTTGAAGGGTAAAAATAGCTACCGGCCAAACACCGATGGAGATAAATCACAGTTTCTATTGGATGGTTTAATGTTTCATTTGGAGCAGCAAAACTCAACAGAAAACAACCAAGGACCTTTTTATTTTTGAAGAACAGTAGGTCACCTGCAAACTATAAATAAACATTAAGTCTTAATGTTAATCCTCACCATACATAATTTTGATTGTGTTGCATATTCATTATAATTATTGTTGTTTGACCCACAAAGGATATTTTTCCTTACAATGCCTGGGATGATTTTATGCATATTCCTAAAGAAATACCATTGAATAAAGGATCAAATAACATACCTGTACAAGGACACATGCTACAACATGACCTTTGGGAGATAAATCGATCCATAAATCTCCCTCTGAATACATGTTAAATGCTAATCAATTATTAAAGTTGCCTATTATTACATCACATCAACCAGCTGGGCAAGAATGCAATCTGCTTTATTCTGTAATCAAACCTATTGTCAGTTAAACAAACAACAGATGGTACATTGTTACCAAGTAGGCTGTATTTAGGGTTTGACTGAAGATCTGAGCATCTTCAGAGCATTTGAGCACCTTTGAAAGATACATCCAAAGATTTTTTTCTAAAGTCTTTTACAGATATTTGTATACATTTAAAGCATTCTAGTACGTTTACAGCATGAACTCAACAGTTCAACCTATTCTATCTCAAAAGCTATTAATTATCTTACATGCAACTGCTTTCAAAAGGAAGATTGATTTCTAAGAACACTAATGGTGTTTTAGGAATAACACTGTCCAGCATAACCATTCCTAACACTTCCTAGCAATCGCTATTCATACGAGCTAAATCAGATAGTCATGTAATGTCATCATTCATCGTCTCAAAGATAACTCACATCTCTGAAGCGGTTCCAGTGCTTGATCTTGCGACTGTACTGGGAAATGGTGGACAGCCACTGTTCATCTTCCATGAAATTCTCCGTCTTCTCCGGTTCTTTCCCGCTCTTAACGTCCACCTGCACGGAAACCCGTACGAGCATCAGCAACGGAACGAGAAGACATCCCAGATCATTCATCCACACCATTATTCCGCTTGTCTGAAGTCTCGATTCCTCTGCTTTAAAGGGCGAGAGACGGATGCTGAGACTACAGTGAAGAGTGACCTGATTACAGGATGCGTCTTCCCTGTATAGAGAGAGAGAGAGAGGCGTCTTCCCTGTATAGAGAGAGAGAGAGAGAGAGAGAGAGAGACGCGAAGAGCTGCTGCTATCAAGCTTGTCAGTGAATGCGCGCTCGTAATTCCATTAAAGGGGTCATATGCGATTTCAATTTTTCTTTTCTCTTTGAAGTGTTACAAGCTCTTGGTGCATAAAGAAGATCTGTAAAGTTGCAAAGACTAAAGTCTCAAATCCAAAGAGATATTCTTTATAAAAGTTAAGAGTCAGCCACACCTACCTAAAATGGCTGGTTGCCGCAAGCCCGCCGGACGCTCCTTCGTCGAAACCGCCAGCCGCGCCGTTCTCTGCGCCGCATGTCAAGCCGGCCTCCGCTCACTCTAGGCTGCCAGCCACCGCTCACTCTAGCCCGCCGTGTGTTTCGTTGTGAAACCGAAACTACTTTGTTTGGTCTTCCAAAAGAGGACACGACTAGAAATCAGTGGTTAAGTTGTATTTACAACACTGTTCCAGAACAGTTCAACCCAAATATTCAGATGTGTGCAGCACATTTTATGGAGGACTGTTTCCTGATCCTGGTTGAGTAGACTACAATGCCGGCTGTTCTGACTCACAGACTGTAAGTACGTTTTCATATTAAAAGAATTTGCCACTGACGATTCAAACGCGAGTTTTGAGCAGTGTAGAGTAGCACTTGTTGTTTGTCATTTCTCCGATCACAAATGCAGACATGGTTTTATGTTGCGGCGTTATTTATGGTTATTTATGCGTTGCGGCGCGATGCAACGCAACGCATAAAAATAAAAAGTCATTATAATCCGTAATTATGTCCCCACTGGATGCAACAAATGCCTCGTTTATAATGGGTTTTAATGTTTTTGTCTCGTCGCTCCGGCCAGACAGGGCATCACAGTATGGTAAGGGGCGTAACATTTCCTTCAGACGCTTGAGGTTTTCGGCCAATCACAATGCACTGGATAGCTGGCCAATCAGAGCACACCTCGCTTTTCAGACCGATGAGCTTTGTAAAAATCGACACGTTTCAGAAAGGCGGGGCATAGAGGAGAAACAATAACGTACAGTATGTGGAAAATAATGTGTTTTTTTTATCTTAAACCGCATAAACACATTTCATTACACCAAATACACCAAATAATGTTCTTTTTAGCAACATCATTTGACCCCTTTAAATTCTGTTATCGTCACATTATAGGATCATTCGAGATCTCAGTTAACCCATCATCACTTAGAACAGAAAATAACCATGGGAAAATAAACATGCTCCACACTTTTACCTGCCATGCGTTTTTAAAACAGAACCAATTTCACTTATAACGCAGGATGATTAATAATAGTATGTTCTTAAAACAAATGTATCATTTCATTGGATTTTCTCATTTTTAAATATAGGTGTCCCTCCCTATACATGTTGTCAGTACTAATTTGTAAAATAATAAAAACATTTATAAAATTATAAAAATAGCAAATAATATAGTAATCTTTCTATTTCTATTTATATATTTAAGTTGTATGAGATCTAGTCTTATACTGAGACCTAAATAAATTAGGTGGATCTAAATATCTCAAACTATTTATTTATTTACAATTTGTTGGAGAAAAATGAACAGACTGTCAGTAGGTGGGGATCTTTATGCAGTTTACATCCATATAATCATTATGAGTGCCTTCATTTCTCATTTATTCAAGGATTCCTTCAAAACGCTGATTCATTTATAAATGAAACAAGGGACTGGCCTTGTGGGTCATTGGATCATTCACTCGACCTAGCCTATTTGTTGAAAAAACTGCTTCACATTCATTAAGGAAACAAATGGCTTGTGAATTCAAGTGAATTCAGTGAATTCAGCAAGTGAATTCAGCACTGGACACTACCATACCATACCACTACCATACTCGTACTATTTCTACAATGTTTTATATTGTAATAGCCACTGTCTTTGTGAGGGAATCACTGAATTATTCATTGAACTAATTCGGTCATAAATGAATTTTTTCAAATGAATAAATAGCTATTTCTAAATAAAAATTTAAATGGCATTTTCCCCAGCGACAAGGCCTAATATCTAGCCAACGTTAAAATGTTTTATTTCAACGAAACTTAAAGTGCTCAAATAGAAACATGCACCCTGATACTGACACCAAAACGATGTGACATACAAAGCACTGACTGACAGGACAATTGACAGAACACACATGACATCGTTTAGCTGTGTGTGAATATGTCAGCATATAGTGTAACTCAATCCTGAAAGCCCCACCGGGGGTTTCAAGTGGTCATTTTTGACCATGGCTATAGTTGTCACTTGCTGTAGTTTCATACATACATAGGCCTATATATGAATATGGGTGACACCTGATTCATATGAAAGAACATAAGCTGCAGGTAAGCAATGCAAACCTCAACATACTTGACATAGAACATATGTCTCTATTAAATATAGGGATACGGCTTTTTTTGTTGTTTATACATGTCTGTCACAGAACACAAAATTCCAATTATAAATATATTTATATGTAACACAAATATCAGAGCAGAACACTGACATTCATGCATTTGACAGACAATTGTAGGCCTATGCAAAGTAACTTTGTGCCGTTGTACAAATTCATGCAAATTCAACTAAAGTTATTTTTTTTCCATTAAAAAGGCCTCTTTAATAAAAAAAAGCATATGCACAATTTTGAAGAAATTAAAGATACTTTTTTCATGATAGATAGATAGATAGATAGATAAATAGATAGATAGATAGATAAAACAGAAGTTATTATTTTTGGTCACACAGCTGGTAGCCAGATGGTAAATGATAACTTGGGCCCATGGAAGGTGTACCTGCAGGATCAAGTAAAGAACTTGGGAGTCATTTTTCATCTCATCTCTCATATTTGATCGACAAATAAAGACGGTGGTTTGTAATTGCTTCTTCTATCTAAGGGCAATAGCCAAATTGAAACAAATTCTTCCAGCCAGGGACCTGGAAAAAGTTGTCCATGCCTATATTTTTTCCCGTCTAGACTATTGTAGTGCTCTTTATGTTGGGACTTGTCATAAACATGCTGCTCGCTTGCAGTTAGTACAAAATGCTGCTGCAAGGTTGTTAATGAATGCTAGGAAATCAGATCATGTTACTCCCTTATTGTCTGTTTTAGGATGGTTACCAGTACAATTTAGGATACAATATAAGATTTTAATATATGTTTTTAAAGCTCTTCATGGAATGGTGCCAGAATATCTAGTTGAGCTTATTAAGCCCCACAGTCCAAGCGTAATACTAAGATCATCAAATAAGTTTCTTTCAACTCTCCCTCATGGTGCACGTCTCAGATTGAAGGGTGATCGTGCTTTCTCCGTTGCTGGTCCAAGACTGTGGAACAATCTGCCACTTGATGTTAGATCTTCCTCAACTTTAAATGTTTTTAAGGATCGTTTGAGATCATATTTGTACTCCCTGGCATTTTAGTATATGGATGTTTTTATGTTATTGTTTTTTTGGAACTACTGTGTGGCCTGTAAGGTGCTATATAAATAAATAAATAAACAAACATTAGATAGATAGATAGATAGATAGATAGATAGATAGATGTACTAAGAAAGAAACATCAATGTTTAGAGGTGAGGTTGTACCACATGGACCAGGACAGGGTGCGGTTTTTCCCTGCTCTCAGCACTTCCCAGCACTGCAGCGCACTGTCACTTCACATCCTACACTTAGCCTGCTTCATTTCATTCTTTCATCTGCAATGAGAGTCTGAAAAGTCACAGATTTCATGACCTTGCATGGCAAGTCACTTATACATTTCCCTTTAGTGATTTTTAGTGATACTGATGTGTCTTTTCACCTTGGTCTCATTTTTGGCTTTGTTGATTCAAGGTGGCAGTTTTTTTCAGAGGTAACTGGAGACATATGGACATATATACTAACATGGTTATAGGGAAGCTGTCATATCTCATTGATTATATCAGTAATGACCAGCTGACTATTAGACTAACCCGTTTGCTCATCGAATAAATAAGCCTAATACTGATTTAAAGCAACTGTATAGTTTTGTGTATTTTTGCGAATTTGGAGACGGAATTTCGTGGGACAAAACAGAAACCATTCTCTTTTTTAGAAGTCAGTGGTACCATCAGAATGACTTTAAAAATGATTTTGATATTTCAAGGTAAAAAAAAAACTTGCATACAGCTAGGGTGAGCATTCATCCTCTTTTTCCCAGACATATCCTTGTCGGGATTTCTAAATTGCCTAAAATGCCCTGCACTCAAAATGTCAGCATCTGCGTTCTCTTTCTCTGAAGCACACAGCATAATCTTTAAAGTGGCTCAATTAATCTTCGCTGAAGGCGTTAAACAATGCCTTAGCATATTATTGTCTTCCACCGTATATGGTAATACTGGTAAACATGATCTTTGCACAGTTTTGCTGACAGAAGGATTTCAGAGTTATTTTAGGGTTAGGTTCCCCAAAAAGGGGGCCAAATTGTAAATGGCATGACATTTTAATAAATTACTCATCTGTGCAATAATGTCACTGAAGGAAAGCGACCTCCTCATGGTCCACTAGATAAGTGGCTTGGATCTCTATGTTAACCTTAAGTGTAATTTTACACCTATACTTGCTGTGCTGTGTATTGGAACTGCATGAAAGAACACTACATCTCAGCAAGAATTGTTCAACAACATCAGAGTTTCTCCTGGCCCTCTGGGAGCTGAGATCCTTTTCGTCCTCCCCTGCAATAAATCAAATCTTAAATGGAACAGTGTTTTGGATGAAGACACATTATTTAGACACAGTGTGCATCTATACTGAGTTATGTTCTTGATATTAATAATCAAACACATTTCTCTCGCACTCAAGAAATGCTCAAGTATTTTGTAGTCAGATGATATTATCATTCCATATTCAGTCACAATTAGTTCATAGTTCTGGAGATAATAATGGTTTCAAGACTTTAAACATCAGTGACCACAGACAAAACAGGAGTCTGTCTTCTTTCCAAAAAGCATGGTGTTTCT